TGGATCCACACACAAAGCTCCCAGTTTACAAGACTTCAGAGGCCGCCTTACAAGCAGAAAGGAATCCAGAGAAGTATCATACACATTTTGCTATGAACTTCAAGAAATTCCGTTTTTCTGCAAGGATTGTGTGGTATTTGATTGACCGTGACAGGAATCATTTAGAGAGTTTTCTTCACAACTCCAACAGTAGATTTGTGCAACATGCATGCTATCAACTTCGTGAGTATGTTCAGGCGCGTGTTGCAGTTTCTGATCCCTTGTATGAGATGATCAAGAAGGAAGAGTTTGAACGCCAATACAATTCCAAGTTTTTGGAGGCGATTTCTTGCTCTCGTGTTGTAGTTGAGCCTGTAAGTTCAGGGACGTATGAGCCATCATCGAAGCTGAACTTAAAGGTACTACAAGACATCCTGAAGGGTATCTTCAAGATCCAGAAGGATGAGGAGCTTGCCAAGGAACGTGATGAAGAAGAAGAACAGGCAGCTCAAAACATCTCATACCTGTTGGCAGATGATATGGAGCTTGATTTTGATGATGATGATGTTCCAGTATGGCGCTCCATTGTCGACAAGTATAGAGGAGGTGATCAGGTGCTACAGGGAGAAGCTGTGAAGATTACTCACCTGTTCAGGGATCAAAAGGACAATGAGAAGGCGACAGAAGCTTTCAGTTCAGAGAGGACAGATTTTTATGAGACCTCAGGACCTCTTCCAAGAACCGAGGGAGAAAATCTTGTAGAGGACTTGCTCACCAAGGATGTTGCAGAACAAGCTTTTGAAGCAGGTGAAGAAGTTCCTCCTTATACAAGAGTCTCCACTATCGCTGGTGAAGTCTATACTGGAAGTATGACACTTCTAGAAGATGAGAATATGGAAGAGGAAGTTCCTGAAGAAGATCCTGCAGTTGAACCTGAAAAGGAACAAGAAATATTTGATGAAGATGCAGGTATTTTTTCTTCAGAGGAACCAAAGATGGAAGTTGACCAGGAGGAAGCCAAGGAAGAGTCAACACCACACTTTCTGTCAAGAGAGATAGGTGAGGACTCGACTGCATCGCACTTACCATCAGGTGAGATGGATGCTAACCTTGATGATACTTCAGGTCAGCGGAAATCGAAGAGAAGCCGCCTGAATAAAATTCCTGATCCTCATTTTCATGAAGAAGTTCAGGATGATGCAACCATGGAAGAGAAGAAAGAGGCGGTGGAGAAAATAAAAGAGGTCAGAGAGGATGATGGAGAGAAGAAATTGGAGGCTGAAATCCAAGAATCTTTTCCATCTGAAGTAGTTGTTGAAAAGGATACAACAAAAGCTGACGATACCTATGAATTGCATACTTCACCCTTGAAGTTGCTTGGAGAGATTACAGGAGATCCAGGTATTGGCTTTTATCAACTATGCTTCAGGGAAACTCATGCAAGATTGCTGAATCATGTTTGTTTCAGAAAGGGTGAGATTTCCCATCCTCATTATCAGTCAAGGATCAACGAGAATGATTTTGTACGATCCATTCGTAATATCTGTCCAGTACCTCCACCTGATTGTTATGAACATGAACCAGAGCATGATTTGAAGAGATTCTTCATCAATGATGACCGCATCATTTATTTGGATGGCAGGTATCAGGTCGATCCAAAGGCCCTTGAAAGGGCAGAACATGCTCGAGAAGAATTGGAGGAGACGAAGAAGGAACTCAAGAATGAACTGGAAGAATATGGTCCCAAGGGACCCAGTTGGGACTTTGTCACCTTCTATGAAGAGCTGTGCAGAAGGTTCCTCAAGGGAAGAATAGAAGAACCATATGGAACTAATTTATTGGCCAGCTCAGAGTCCTTGACATTTTTATCCTGGAACTATGGCAACATGGTTCGTGGTCAGAAGTACACCACACCAAGGTTTCTCCAAGGACTTGATAGTGCAATGAGGCCACGCAAACAGAGCGCCATGTCACTTCAGAATGAGCAATTTGAGAACAACCTTTTCTTCAACATGCTCTTCTTTTTACGTGCACATGTCGTGATTCTCCAGGAAGCTCATCTTCTTGTTCCTGCCAAGGAATTTATTGAGCAAAAGAATTGGACAGTTTGTTTCAATGATTGGGAGAATCTTGCAGTGATGGCTAGATTGGCACCAGGTGGATATGTCAAGATCATTGCTGGACATGATCAAGAACTTGGTCACTGTGAACAGCGTGATGTAACTTGGACTATCTACGAGATTTGTTTTGGAGAAACAAGGCCTCGTCAAGATTTCAAGGATGCAGACTTTGAATTTGATGACTATGGTCCTGAGGACAAGCGTGTTCCACTTACTCGAGCGAACATGCATACCATCAGAGTCTGTAATTATCATGTTGATACACACCGTGCTGTGGATGCCCACCTACTGACAGGAGAACAGACAGCATTGATGCTTTACGAGTGTTTTGTCTATGAGGTGGACATCATTTCTGGTGATGCAAATAGTTTGGCCTACAGAATGTCTGGGTACAAAAGGCAGCCAATGGCTAACTACTATTATAGCACCATGCAGCATTGGATCCGCAAGTTTTCAGAAGCTCGTGTAAAAGCAGATCTTGGTATCAAAGCACCTATTCCCAGAACATTTTACAGTTCAACTTCACAGGTCCTCAAGAAGTGTGAAGTTTACTTTGATAAACTCTGGGAAGAATATTCTACGGTTGAAAGAGAAGAATACCAAGGATCACAGCTTGGCGATACATGTTTGTCTACCATTGTTGAATGGGGTCATTCAATGAGTGAAGAGGAATATGAAAATTCCACAGTGAGCACGAAGGAGTTCATCTGTAATTTTTCAGAGAACTTTGCTATGATTGATACAGAGGTTATGTGCTCAAGGCCCACTGACGAGGACAGTCATGGTCCAATGTTTATTTCACTCAGACCAGCTTCCTTTTCATCTGGAGACAGAAGACAGTATCGCATGGGAGCAACTCTTCATGAGGCTAACTTGCGGAGGAAGGAGAGACAGAAACAGAATAGAAAGAAAGGAAGGCCGCCAACTTCTGGTCAAGCAGCTTCATCGTCTGCAGCGGCATAATTCCTGAGCGAAGGCTGAAATTTAAATGATGGCTAGGAAGTGAAGATACTTCTGGTTACAGTTGATACTTTGCTTCCAGGCTTGACTTTAAGTTGCCAGGCTGAAGTTTTAATAAATTCTGGTTTGCAAAGAGGAGAAACTTTTTATCAAAGAAGATACTCCTGCATTCCAGGTTTATACGCTTTAGCAGGTAGATATGGACAGTTTTTCAGAACTGATGATAACTACCACAGCCGCTCTTTATGAAGTGACCTCTAATGGACAACCAGTCATGGTTGATGATTAAGTCATTTCAAGATTTGCAATTGTAGTGCAAGATTTTTTTGTACATACATTTGCCGGTATCTCCTTCTTGTGTTTTTGATGTGAATGTGAAAGAGAGTCCTTTTGATGCATTTTATTTGTCTGTGAATGAAAGCGGTCGAGACCACGTCACGAGAAGATTATTCCTCGGACCGTACGCTCCTTGCATTTTGCAAGGCATCTTAATTCATTGCATTGTGCGGTCTTGAATTTTTAGTTCTTTGTTACGCGAGTGTCGTTTGATTCTTTTATAGGTCTCTGTAGAGAAAAAGCCGCTTTCCCTTTTTAGTTTGATTTAGCTCAGGCCATAAAGAGCTAGTGAGCGCCGGTACATGGTATCTCCGCCTGCGAAAAGTACAGTCTCCAGCCGAGGTACATTATCGATTTGATCTTGTACTTGAGGTGAGTCAGCTATTGCTCCCTCACTGTATTTAGTAGCTATGAGATTATCTTCTCCAAAGTGTGAAACACACTGGATTAGATAAGTACATGGCACCGTAGTTTTCTTTTAAGTTGTCAGAGCTAGCTGAACTGTTTTAGCCTTGCAGTAGAAAAAGAGTATGCGACATACGCAATCAGCTAGAAGTGGACATGAATCTTGTGCCTGCTGAAAAGTAGAGCCTACCTGTACAGGGTTCCACTCCAACAGCTGATATAGTGTGTCCATGCTTGACTGCTTCAAGGCTCAAGAGAGGGTCAATGGACCTAAAGAGCAAGAGGACAAGACTCTGCGCATAAAAGACACTAGCGGTCTGCACCTCTACCGTGTACGCCCTAGTCACTCTTTCACCCCCTCCCCCCCTCTAAAATCAATTCTCTCCTGGAGAACGTCTTCGTGAGCCTCTCATGATTTCAGGATAGTTGAAACCCTCTTGAACATTTTAGAAAGAGTGAATATGAAATTCTAATCACGAAAGGTGTTCCCCGAGGGGATACATACCTAGAGTTTGTTTTGTGAAGCACGTCAATTCTCTCCTGGGGAGCGTCTTCGTGAGCCTCTTATGGTTTCAGGACAAATCCTATGATGTTCCGATTCAATGCTCACCGATGATCTGAGCCATGGGGCAAGTTTGTTTTCCTAAGAACCTTTTTGAACATTTCGAGAGCATATGTTTGAACATTTAGAGTGCATATGAACATATATTTACGAAAGGTCGCCTCCGAGGGGATAAATCACCATGTCGAACATTGCATTTTTGTTCCTGCCTCTCGCGTTCTCTTCTCTTCCCGCTGTCCTACCTTTCGTGTCTCCCTCCTCTCAAGTCTCTCAGTACGAAATTCACCCTCATCTCGTACCATTGCTCCAGACGATCTGGAATCTGGAGTCTATCTATTCACTATTCACCTTCCGCCGATCTGCCTTCTTCTCCCACCCTTCCGCAACCGCATACCCGCACGACGCGCGCGCGCGCGCGCGCTGGGCGAGTCGACGCAGTGATGTTCTGGTACGTTTCTGGTGTGGTGCACCCAGTGTTGCAGGAGGTTGCCCAATCAAAGCGTCGAGCACGTGGGTCGCCGTAAAAACCATTTGAACAAACTAAATCATAAAAAAGGGATTCCTAAATGGTCATCCATGGATCTCACAATTCGTCTATTTAGAAAGGACAGATGTTTTGATTTTTTCTCTCCGCCCAGGAGGCCTACAATTACAACACCATGCGGGACGAGGATCCCAGGAATCTGGTCTTGCTGTGCACCTCCCAGGGGAGACTTGGACAACTGATGAGCATTCTTTTGGTTTTGGTGTCCTTTTGTTTGCCTTGAGTCCAAAAGAAGCAGAAAACGAGGAGACCGAGACTGAGCCGAAACAGAAAAGACATCAACATGTAGCTTTGTTGAAGAGGAGTTCAACTCACCAATTCATGCGTTCTCGAAGAGCAACAGCTGCGGGGTAACGAGTCTGGCGCGCTTCGCAGCCCGAGCGACGTATACACCAGGGATCAGCAATACCTAGTCCCAAAACTTGGTTCCGAAAACATGGCAAGACCATGGCAAAACCACCTGTTCAACGCGTCATGCCGCACAATGAATGCCATCAACATGCTGCACCTTCTCAATTGTCATCATCGGTGAAACCTTGAAACGACGAGAGATCCAGGCGATTCGTCTGAGCACAGGGTGGCGCAGGTCTGAAAAAGATGAATTCACGTGCTTTTTTTTCAATCCGACACTTGTTATACTTGGGATTTGATACTGCCAAAACCAGGTGAACGCTTCTGCTAAATAGTTTTGACCACAACTCATGAGCAAGATCCTGCATGGTTTTTGCCTGTCTAACCTTCCCTGTAGCAGTATACCTTCCCTCCAAGAAAAGGGTTATCTATATGGGAGCATCGTTGCGTGACCTTATTTGATATGAATGGGACGATCCAAAAGCAATGTATGGGACTTGGACTAGTCATATGTTAAACATCTTCCGTCTTCCATGTGCTTGAGGATGCTGAAAAACACTGCTTTAAACGCCATGTTTTCCGCCCTGCCGGAGGCCAAACCAAAAGCTCCTTGGCCATCTCATGGCCTCTTCCCATTGTTTTTTTTGTTCACAGCGTGTTTTTTCTGAAAAACCTCTCCAACCCACTCGACCTGCGCCCACCTTGGCCTCCAGGATCGCCGTGCAACAGGATGGCCGTGGAGCGAAGAAGCTCTTCCACCATGCAGCCGACCCCTCGGGGCGGATTCATCGCTATTGGCTGGAGGCAGAAGAGACGCATCACAAGGCCGGTCGCCACGGAGACGCAGCGAGGGAGGCGTTGGCAACGTTGGTGGTTGGTGAAAAGGGAGCGGGCTGGGTGTTAGGGTGGAATTGAGGATGGCAGTGTTCTGTTTCCATCCAATCCACTATGGAATATTTACATTCTATAAACATTTACCATTCTTTTTTACAACATTGACCCTTAATCTGCGCATCCTTAAAACCAACTGTAGCCATAATCCATACATGCCCTCCAAGTCAATGACCACGTTAAACTTGTTCGTTTGGACTCAGAGATCATGAATTTACTTTCAATAGAAGCTACAGGAGTTTTACTTGGTCCCCTTGTCAGCGTTCATGATCTCTTCAGAGCTGGTATCGGGCGAATCAGCATGCCAGTTTGGTTCCCCTCGATTCTTTTTAAATCAGTCAGCCGTTGAACACGGCACGTTCAAACCAACATTTCTGCTGGAACACCCGGATGAAAGCATCTCTAGAGCCCGATTTGTTGGAAACACATTGGCCAACTGTGACTGTGAGCGTAGCTACGCGCAACAGGTGCGGAACACCCCCCTCAGCTAATCTTCTAAAGCTGCACATGACCTAAAACTTCAGATGACCTTCTAAATCCGCAACAACCGCGTAACTGAAGTGCAACTGGAGGGCAACACTATGGGCATCAAAAAAGATATAAGCAACACCCGACCAGCATATTTCATGTTGATCAAATTGAAGGACAAACTGACAGGATATTGGAATTTTGATGAATTTGGATCTTAATTTGGTACTTTAAAGGAGATGCGCATATAGGCATGTTGAAGGATCAATGCGGTGGTGGCGTGGCGAAATTGAGCTGGCTTGGACAAAAGGGCTCGAGTTCCGGCAAAGGAAAGGTACCCCGGTACTCAACTTGATCGTTTACAAAAGTACACAAGTTAAACATGCATTTCAGACTTTGTGCAGGATGCTCCAAAGCCTCAAACAACTTGAAGTTTCATCCATCCATCCCTCCCCTCCCTCCCTCCCTCCCTCCCTCCATCCCTCCATCCCTCCATCCCTCCATCCCTCCATCCCTCC